GATGGGTGCTAGGCGCGTGTAGTCAAACGGAATGACTACCCCCATTTGGGCGCAAGTGCGTTGGTGGATACCTTCACGCTCAATAACCTTGAACTTCACCGTCTTATTAACAGTAGCGGTAGGGAGCTCCACATCATTGGAAGTCTCGTAGGGCGTCCGTTTGCAAGTCAAGCGTCCTCTGAGATCTCCTGTAGGTTGATAATGACAATCCTCAGCATCGGAAAGACGAGACATGAAGTCGCATGAAGGAGGCTCAAGGGAGTCGATATGAGGACACTTGGGAAATTCCCTAAGTGTCGGATCCAATCAACCTCGCTGATACAGGCGAGGTCTGAAATGTGGGCGAGCTCTAGCTGACTGCAGGCGAGCTCTAGTCGACTGCAGGCGAGCTCGAGCATTTAGGCAACCTTCAACCGACGGTTGGTGAGGTCTGGAATCTGGACGATCTTCAGCCGACTGCTGGTGAGGTCTGGAATGTGGGCGAGCTCCAGCTAACTGCTGGTGAGCTCAAAAATTTAAGCAACCTTCAGCCGACTGCTAGCGAGGTCGAGCTAACTGGTCGTTCAGGTGAGGTTCAAGGCAAGTTTAAGCCTCAACCGACTGCTGGCGTTCAAATGTAAGAGACTCAAGGGAGTCCAAATGGGAACACTTAGGAAATTTCCCAAGCGTTAAACTCAGGCGATCTTGCCTAGACAGACAAGCTTGGGTCTATTGGCGAAGTTCAGCCATCTGTTCATTCAGGCGAGGTTCACGTGGTCGGCGACCTTGAGCCTATTGGGGAGGTTCAACCTCCAGTTCTTTCAGGCAAGGTTCGCCTGTTTGGTGAACTACCGCTTCTTGTAGGCGGGGTCGATCTGTTAGGCGAGCTCGCTGAGGTCTGCCTGTTTAGCATACTTGAGCTTGTTGGTGAGACTCAGTCTGGCGAGGTTCGCTTGTTGGGCGAGCTTGCATCTGTTGACGAGCTCGCATGTATTGGCGAGGTTCGGCCTGTCGAGGATCGCCTGTTGGGCGAGCTGCAGCTTTGCCTTTCTGACGAAGGTCGGCTTGCGGGCGAAGTTGGGCTGTTAGGCGAACTTAATGAAGTTCCCTTGAACTAAAGAGTTCACCATATTTGCGAAGCTTGCCAAATTTAGGAAGCTCACCTGAAGAGTAGAGCCCGCCTGCATAGGTGGGCTCGTCTGATTTGAGCGGTTCGTCTAAATTAGGAATCTTGCTCATGGAGCAAAGCTAGTGAGGCACGCCTGAACTGCTAGGCTCACCGAAAATATTAAATTCGCCAATTTTGGGAACTTTGCCAACAAAGTAAAGCCCGCCTGAGTAGGTAGGCTCGCCTGATCGGTTCAGTTCGCCAAAATTAGGAACCTTGTGTTTTAGCTTGGATCTCTTCAGGCCTGAATAGTAATTCAGGCCGTCATCGGACATGAGGGCTTACATCTTTTGACGGTGAGAGCTTGTCATCGTCGTTGCTTGGTTCTTTTGGAGAGAAGAGCGTTCATGTTGACGGCGAAGGCGGGTCTACGTCGACATGAACCGTCGTCTCCTCTTGCATAGGGGCCTGGGAGGATCGTTCAACGACCCCTCGCGCAGCCCTTGAACTTGCATCCTTTGCCTTTGGCTCGGCCGTGATGGGCTTAGGGGAGATAGAACCCCCTGTGTTTGCTCGGGCGAAGCTCTCTGGCATGGTTGCCTCGGTCACTTGGGGCTGGGCCACACACGTAACTCTGTAGCACTTGCGAGACGCATTGCCGCCAGAAGAGGATGAAGATAAGTACTTCTCGAACTCGATCACTAGGGACTTAACAGTTATCCCTATCGTAATTTCGTCAAACTGCACCACCACCATTTTGGTTGAAGAAGCGGTTCCTTCCACTATGGTCGCCATCTTCTGTTGGGTGTAAAAATTAACTTCCTATTTGAGGGGTCGTTTGTGCTTATAAAAATAGGTTATTACAAACTACAATCAATGTTTATAACAGAGGAGAAGGGAATGACCCTTCTTGTTTAACGTGGGTTCGTTGGCAGCGGTAGGACGCGTCCCTCGGTGCTCGTGCCGAGTTTGCTTCCTTAGACGATCCGATCAAAGTTGTGATTGGGATTCGAATGCCCGAACTTGATGAGTATCAAGGCCGAATGCACCAAGAAGGCTATGATGCAAGAGTTTACAGAGCCAATAAACCAAGAGTCTCCAAATCTGAGAGTTCAGATTGAGACTTTAAAAAAGCCAAGGGGCTGTCCCAAAGAAGGTCCAACCAGCCACTTAAAAGGTTAAGTTCTAAAGAAGGCCAAGACCAAGCCAGCCCCTCAAAATGTCCAAGTCTGCAAGAAGACAAAAGAGCCATTCTCATGTAGCCAAGTGTGGTTATTTATAGAAAAGAAGAGTCATGGCCAATCCCTTGATTTGTGGGATATGGCCATGCCTAGGTAAGGAACACTATGCTCTCTCCCTTTAATTTGTAGGATGTGACCACTGATGGGGCAAGGAGTATCATACTCTCTTCCTTGAAATATGGGATGTGACCACTGATGTGACCGTTTCTATATCTCAAGTGGATGGCTACCAAGCTTGACCAACCTTCACGCGAGTTGACGATTTTGCAGCAAGCGAGCTAGAGCATGCAGACGAGTCGGCGACTTTGCAGGCGGGCTGGAGACCCTACAAGCGAGCTGGCGACCCTGCAGGCAGGCTAGCGACCCTACAGGCAGACTGACGATCTTATGACGACCCTATATGCAGGCTGGCGACTCTACAGGTGGGATGGAGACTCTGCAGACGAACCAAGGGTTTGTAGGTGAGCTTGGCCTGAATCTGGTGAGCTTAGCCTTCAGGTGAGTTTCAAGCTGTGAGGCGATCTCTACAGATGAGGTTGTGCAGGCGGGCTTGCCTTCGGGCGAGCCTGGATCATGCAGGCAAGCTTCAAGCTGTCAGGTGAGCTCTGCAGGCGAGGCTGTGCAAGCGAGCTTACCTTCAGACAAACTTAAATCATGCAGGCAAGCTTCAAGCTATCAGGTGAGCTCTGCAGTCGAGGCTGTGTAGATGAGCTTGCCTTATGTAGGCGAGCTCTAGAATATGCCACGAAGAACATGTCATAACTTTCAAACCGTACGTCGGAATTTGACGACTTATATATGAAAATCGTCTATCTCGACGAGACAGAGCTGACCAAACCCATCCAAAGGGTTTAGTTTGCCTCTATTCATTGTACCAAATTCCTTCTAGTTTAAGAGATATCAACGTTTTTCCCCTTTTTTGCTATTTCGGGTGAGGTTTTAGCAATCTTGTTTTGAGCTTTTATCATAGGGATTAAAGGTAATTTTTATTGCCTATAATATCGAATCTAGGAAAAGCTCATTGAGAAGCGGTCAAATGGATTCTGAGGTATCTACGAGGCACCACACAGAAGTATTTGCACTTTAGTAAGGAAGAGGTGGAAGTACAAGGGTACGTAGATGCAGACTTCAGAGATGAAGTCGATCACCAAAGAAGCACCACCGGCTATGTATTCACTGTCGGAACTACAACTAATAGTTGGATGTTATAGATATAGAAGATTGTCACTCTATCCACTATAGAAGCTGAGTATGTAGCAGTGACTGAAGCCAGCAAAGAGATGATATGGCTTCAGGGATTGTTAACCTAGCTGGGATTCTAACAGGAGAAGAATATTTTGCATAGTGATAGTCAGAGTGCGATTCACTTGGCTAAGAATTCCGTATTTCATTCTAGAACGAAGCACATTAGTCTTCGATACCACTTCATCAGATCTCTGTTGGAAGATGACGTGTTAAAACTAGAGAAGATTCTAGAAAGTAAGAATCCAGCAAATATGTTAACAAAAACGGTGACCATTCAGAAACTGGAGTTATGCTCAACTTCATTTGGCCTCCATGCATAAGTGATCAGGACGGAGCCACACATGAGTAAATGCTTGTTGAGATAGCCTGCTGACGGCGGTTTAGTCTCCAAGTGGGAGATTTTTGGATTTGGGTGTGGATCCAAACCTTCGCAGGCGATCTCGAAGTCGAGGTGGCGCAGGCGAAGCTTCAGGCGAGGTCCACGTGAGATGCAGGCGAGGCGAGCTCTTTCAGGTGAGGTCGAGCTCCTTCAGGCGAGGTCGATCCCCTCCAGGAGAGCTCGAGCGCTGTGAAGGCGAGCTCGATATCAGGCGAGGTCATTAGCGAGTTACAAGCGAGCTCGAGGCTT